CTAATTTGTCAGTTAGTCCTTGAATATATTAATGGAACTAATGGAAGTGGACTTTGTTCATTAGATGCTTCTTCTTACCCCCATCCCCAAACCTAACTGAGGCATACATTTTTAACAAGCATCTTCCTCGGGAGGACTAACACAATGCAATCATTTTGATTCTCTGCAATTGCCCTTGTATAATGTTCTGAACCTTTGTTGTTGAATATGCCAAAGTCAAACAAACTGGAGGACTGAATGGACAGAATGATTTCCCATCCTTTGTCTATTACAGTGGTTGAAAATACCAGGAAATGAAAAGATCCTGATTGGTAAAGATGTCCAAAAGATAGAAAGCTGTTGTCATTTCCCTGTAGCTGGAATATTGAGTCATAGTGGCCAAGTAGCAGGTCATAACTATCAAACTTTGCATGTCTCATTCCTGATACTCCCAACCTTTTCCAATCTTTCCACCATTCTTGCAGGTTATAGAATTAAACAAAAGTGAGGACAGGTAAGATGTGCTGGTTGTTATTCTCCAAGGTAGATAAGCTTGATCAATCAGTTCTGCGGCTTAACAATGATTACGTATGTCAATGTACTTATTGTGAGTAGTTTCTGATTTTTTATTTTATTTTTTTGCTATGGTGACTGCTGAGAAGGCCTAAAGAACACCTTTGAACTGCCCCTTGCAGCCCAGATGAGTGTTATTTGCAAAGCAAACATCACAAAAACCACCTTGCAAAGATTAACATTTTCTTCCTACTCAACCTTTTGTGTAGCAGCTTGTCAACGCGCTTGTGTCAAAGAGCCAAATGACAAATTAAAATGCCCTTAGATTGCAGGAGGATATTTGATATAATCAGTTGCTTTATTATAAGTGAAACAAAAATAGAATAATCAAAGGTCTATTAGCAGCTACCTGTTTATCAGCTAAGCTGCTAGAAAGGCATTATTGAGTTTGAGTGAATTTGCTCAAGAACTTCAATAGGCAAATGAGGCACATTAAGTCAATACTGCTGTACAATCTATATATTTCACAATCACTTGCGTAGTCAGTTCTGTAATATCAGAAAATCATGGAAACAAATGCAAGATTCAGTAAACATGGGGCCTCTGATAATGTAGAACTGCTAAGAGTGATGCCTCAGTTTTGGAAGCAGTATGTAAATAATAACACATAAATATTCTAAATGTTTGTGTCAGAAGAAAAACTCTGCATAAATGTTTTGGAAAACTCAATACAGTGGTACCTCGGGTCACGAATGCTTCTGTTCATGACCAATTCGGGTCACTAACAGCACCGTTCGCAAAATTTTGCTTCCGTTCGTGAACTCCGCATCGAGTGACGAACAGGATCCGTGGCCATTTTCCCTGCTGACACACGTGGTCGTGGCTTCCTGTAGGGAGCGGGACTCTCCCTCCAAACAATAACCGCCTCCCCACCCACCTTCCTGTCCTCCACGCCTCGAGCAAGGTTAGTGTTGTCTCTCTTCATACTGTACTGTTCTGTACTTTGTGTCATATTTTTGTGGTTTTAAAAAAAACAACATATGGTTCAGAACAGATTAACTGTATTTACATTGAACCTTATGGGAAAATTTGATTTGGGTCGCGACCAATTTGGGTCGCAACCAGAGTCGCGGAACAAATTAAGTTCGTGACCCAAGGTACCACTGTATGTATGTATGAAAGTATCATTCCCAATGAACCCATGCACTGGTTTATGCAAAACCCAATAAATGAATTGGCATACTTGCCACAATCAAGTTGCTCTTCCACAACTTTTCACGTGGGCTATTTTACCTGCAATCCTTCACATCTACAAAGGGGTACTTGATAGAAACAAACCAATAAAATGCCCCTTCCCAATTAATAAAACCAGGTATTCATCATGAATCGAAGAAAGCAGATCCAAAGCAGTAAGAAATGATTACAATTTCTATTACCAAACCTGGCTTTGAGGGAGGGAAACGGTTGTCGCATTGATCCTTAATACAAGACCCAGCATTCTGATTCTTGTATGACAACAGCAGCACCTCATAATTTCCAAGGGGGGGAAAATCCAACTGGCATCTAAAATATTACCATTATTTACTTGAAATAACTTCAAACTCAGATTGAACACAAACTTTTCTTCCCCAACTACTTTCCCCTTGAGGAAAGCCTGTTTTGGCAAAGTACTCAGAAGTTCTGTTTATGTAATGATCCTTTTGTATATGCTTCACCCTTTGTCTCTGTGTTAGAAAGAACTTTTTCAATTCTCTTACTACATAGAGTGATCAGTGGGTATGGCACATTGCATTTGGAGACTCGCCAAATTCAAGTTGCTTGCAAGAGAACAAGTCTTAGCCCATGCAGTTTACAATTTAAGATCTGACCCAGAAAAACAGGGAGGAAAATAGGAATTGGGTAAAGGAAAAAAAAAGTTAGCTTCATGTTTTGAGATCTAGTTACTAGCCTTGTGAGAGTGGGATATGGGAACGATGAGACTGTGGCAAAGTTTTAGAAGATGCGTTTTGAAGAAAGGTTAAAATGCTTTGGATATGAATTCTCTCCTTTAAGCTCCTCTATGATAGGAAGTCAAGAGGAGAAAGAGAACTAAGAAGAATTCCCTGGAGGATATCGAGACCTTGACTGCATAATCTAGGTCTTCTCCATCTCTAAAATGCAGTAGCATTTTAGCTGGCTTTGATTGCATATGACACGAAATGCGGTAATGAGATTTTTTTAGCTGCACAGAGTCTGTGGATATTATAATAACGACCCTAAAACTTAATGTCAGTTATCTCTTTAATTCTGGGCTGATTTTGACCTCCTGGGTCTACATCTGCTTTCAGAATGAAGGCAGCATTGCCAAGTCTATCTTTCTGAAAAATGTGCCTGCCTTCATGTTTTGCTCCATGTGCACAAAGGCAGTTTTGTGAAATATTATATATACTCATTAGACAGACAGCTCTAAATATAAGATAACCCCCCCAAAAAAAATTAGGCTGAAAAATGATCTACACAAAAAGTTAGATACATACAATGAATATACAAGAAGAATATAACTTTTCTCTAGTGATTTGTTAATCATTCTATAACTCTACACTTCTTTACCATCTTTTTATGATGGTCTCTCTCCATTCCCACTGCTTTGAAACTCAAAAAAAATATTCTTAGTTCCATCTGCAGATTTAGAAATACAGCCTTGAAAACAAAATCACTTATCGGTCATTCCAGGTTTATCCGCTCTTAATGCCATTTAATCCAGGGACAAACCACCCCAACACCAGAGTTTGTTCTTGTACGAGCAAAAGCGTCAGTCTTTGCTAAGGGCCATTTAGACCGCTGAGATCCTGGTCGCTATCAAAAGAAAAGATTCTGTTTTCACACATTTGTCTCTGTCACTTCTTCACAGCCTCAGAAGTGTTGCTTTTCTTCTCTTTTTTGTACTGTAGTGCCACAAAGCTGGTATTTATTTTACCTTTGCTGGCACTTCTCACCTGGATCCCTCACTGCCACTTCTGCATCTACGTTCACACGGCCTTCCCTGGACTTTCAAATGGGGCCAAGCTTGCATTTTTATTTCATCTTTTCCCCCTCCCTCTGGCCTTCTCAGCAGTTAGCTATTCTCCCCACCTTGACTGTACCCCCTTGCTATTTTCTTTCCGCTTCTTCCTCAGTGGCGTTTCTGACCATTCCTATCTAGACAGACAGACTTGGCTCCTTCCCAACTGTTTTTCCAGTATCAGGTGCATTTTTTTAAAGCTAATGTTTGTTTTTGTTTTGTTCTTTGTCCTTTCCATACAAATCCCATATGATATTTATGATTAACGTTATGAGTCATAGTATTACTAATAAATATTATTCATTATGTATGATATTCAGACAGCTTTTCTGGTAATAATGCATATGAGGAGCAGCTCACATTGGTGTTAGCCGCATAGTGAATGATCAGGGTGATGGCCATGGCAGTCTAAATCATATGGACACAATGCAACTGCTTTCCTGTGACATGTGCCTTTAATACATGCTGGATTTACAGGAGGAAGGCAGCCGTAAAGAGAAGAAATTACCTAGAACCCTCCACCATCCAGTGCAAGGCTATAACTTGGGTCAGAGAAGCTAACCTTAAACAATTTACATTGTGTGCAGTAGCTTGTTCTACCCCTTCACTCTCTTCTTTTTAGCATAATCAAGGGTTAAGAAAAGAACAAATATAAGGAATCAATTAGCACTCTTCACCTGAAGTATATAATGGGTCCTTCCAAAATCTTTTCAACTTCAACCCTGTTAAGGAGCATCTTGTTAGCATGTCAAAGCCGCGTGTCTTGAAAAAGAAACCAGTGATGCACTCAGCACCCGGTTCTGCAATTTCTAGAATACATATCCTAGAAGGGTTCAAATTGTTTGCAGGTCACAGAAGCAGGGAAATACTGTCAACTTTTTCCAAGCAATAACTGTTTTCTCCTCTGGTTGTTAGTTCCACTAGGGCACTTTGCTTTTCTTATCCTCCTGAAACAATGTGTAGAGGGAATATGGAATGGCCTTGAAGGACAGGAGGAAGAGCAACTACCAAGGCAACAGTTAGATAAGTAGGGCTTGAGCCCTAGGCAAGAATGTAACATGAGAAAATGTCTCAGACAAGCCCCTCCCTAGCTCTCATGAAGATATAGGGGCTGTTAAAATAAAAGTAACTCTGACCCATATGGCATTATTTTCGTCTGGTCTGTCTTGTTGACTGACACAATCTTAGAAAGAAATAGGTCTGTTGTCCTATAAAAAAAAGAGTAATTTATAGATCATGTAATAGCAGGGTTGACTGCCGGTGGTACTCACAGCAGGCCCAAGAAAAACTAAGAAGTGGGACCATGGTATTGAATTATTGCATGGGAACTAGACACTCTTCTCCACCTGCTATTTTAATTAACAATGATTAGTCAGACCTCCCACTCTGACATTTCCCCTCCATTAAGGAAGGAAGCAGAATCAACACTTTCCTTACAAAATAAAGGAACAATCCAATGAATAGCAAAATGCACCTTTTATTCCTTCCATGCTACAGCATTTCGTATTCTTGTAACAGACAACTAAGCAATATAACTGAAAGTATTTTTTTGTTTTTTCAAAGATATTACTAAAATAAGTCAGTCAATCACTGCCTTCCAATTCTGTTCACCGTACTGAACCCAAAAGTGACTTGCCTTTGCTTTTTACGTACCAAAACCTGGCTGGGTGAATGTCTTTTTGTAGATATGCCCTCCAGTATTGAGATAGGAGTGGCAATGATCTTCAGAGAAATTTTGATGCTGATCAAGGGCATATTTCTGTGAGTGCCTATCACGTTGGGCTATAGGGAGAACCTGGGGATCCTGCTTGTATACCAGATGCCTTCCTGCATGGCAGGATCACCTCCTAAACATTATCATTGGACTGGTTTTGGAGTACTCAGTGAGGGGAGATTTCAGACTCCATGCCATAGGAGACGCTTCAGGGCAGGAAGATTGATAAGGATGGCCCATTCCAGGTGAATTCCTGTGGGCTTTTGAGTTTTCTGGCATGTTGGCAGGCAGTTCTGCTGAGCACCAGGTCAAGGGCTGGAACTCAAAGATGCCAAAGTAAGATTCAGTCTGCTGATTCTGGAAGTGGATAGGAGGAATTGTGTCACTTGTAGCTTGATCCATGCCCAACCTGGCTTCTTTGCAAAACTGGTATTTGAATGACTGAATCTGGAAGGTGGTCAGTGCCTCACTGTAAGATGATGCTCTACCTATCTTGAAATAGGAGTTGGTACACCTCCTGGAGGTCCTCCCTAGATCTGGCCAGTTTAGACAACTATCACTCAGTCTCCAACTTTCCCCTTTTCGGAAAGTTGTTGAGAAGGTGGTAGGCCTACAACTGCTGAATGCCCTAGATGAAACACACATCTCAGCAGCATTCAACACAACCTGCCATGGTATCCTTCTGGCATAATAGACATTATGAGCACTATTCTTCAGTGGTTTTGCTCTTTCCTGAGCAATTTCATATCTGGGTGATTAGGCAGTTGTTCCCTTGCAAGGGATTGGATGGTTCATCTCTCTTGCCTGTTTTTAAACATCTACATGAAACTACTAGATGTCATCATGAAATTCAGGGTGAAGCATCATCAATATGCTGACAGTATTCACTTATATATTTCTACCCCTAACCTGGCTGGATATGCCATGGAGAATGTGAAATGGTCTTTGCAAGCTGTCAGGGGCTGGATGGGAAGAAACAGGCTGAAGCTGAATCCTTGCAGGATAGAAATGCTGTTTGTCCAGAAACCATCTGTCTCTTTACTTGCCTTGGTGATTACTCTAGACAAAGCAAAACTCCCCCTAAGGAACCAGCCCATGATTTTGGTGTCCCTCTAGACTTACAGCTACTGCTAAATAGGCAGGTGGAAGCCAAGACTAGAGGAGCCTTTTCCCAATACCAAGTGCCAATTGTGGCCCTATCTGTAGCAGGAAGCCTTAGCATCAGTCACCCATGTCCTTACCACCATTAGCTTAGACCAACGCAGTGCACTGTACATGGAAATTGCAATTGGTGCATAGTACAGCCAGAAGTCCATTGATAGACAAGAACCACTGGAATCATATAACACGTGTTGCAGGTGCTGCATCGGTTGCCAGTTGGCTTCTGAATATAAGCCAAAAGTGCTGGTCGTCACTTATAAAGCTCTACAAGGTTGGCACCTAGATATGTTCAGGACAGCCTGCTCCAAAGAGTAGTTCATCCAATGCAGGCATCCAGATATGGGATACTGAGTCTTCTCCACTCCTTGGAAGGTATGTGGGGAGGGGGCAGGGGTGAGGAAACTTTCTATCCTTATGGAATAGTCTTCTCTTGGAGACCCAGGCACCTTCCCTGATGGCAGAGAAAACAAAACTCTTTTGAAGAGTCTACGATCCACATTGTTCCTTGGGACTGATCGCTATGGATTTTAAGTACAATTCTAGTGGAACTCTGGTTGTGCTATATTTGATGGTTTTAAGAATTTGTAAACTTCCCAGAGTCCATGTGGAACTGGTGGTACAGAAATGCCATAATAAATGAATGTACCTTTATTAAATTATCAAGTGTATCTTTGATTAAATTATGCCCTCTAGATCTCAATAGGCTTAAGAACATTTCACTTTCTGTTGCATGGTGGACGCATGTTTTGTTTAATTTATTATTTGTACAGATTGCTCATTCTTTCTCACCTGCTACTAGCGCACTCTGCTGGTAGGGCTCGGTGTATCTCCTTAATATTAAAAAATAAAAAGCAATCTTCTGCTTTTAGAGACTGTACCTGCTGTATGCCCCCTAACTTCAAACATACTTTTCCTTCCTGTCTCAGTATGACAAAGGAAGAGTTCTGTTACTGACTACCATTTCATTGGCTTGCGAGCCTGCTCCTTTTCTGCTTTTAGGTAATCATCATAGAGTTCTCTCAGATGCAGCAATAATGCCTCCAGATTTTCTCCTGTCAGAGCAGATAGTGGGATGACTCTCTGCTTCACTTGCTCCTTAAGGAGAAATAAATTGTTCTTTGACTCTGGGAGATCAAACTTATTTGCAACAATGGCATGAGGAATCTTTGACAAGCCAACTTTATACTGTTCCAGTTCGTATTTCAAGGCTTCCAGCTGAGCCCAGGGGTCAGCCACAGAGAGATCCAACACGAACAGAAGAAAGCAGCAGCGTTCTATATGTCTCAGGAAGGCTAAGCCAAGCCCTCTGTCTTCATGGGCTCCTTTTATTATTCCAGGGATATCTACAACTGCAAAATCAGACAAAACACAACAATGTGATCAATACAATTCTGGTTGTTGAGGAATGATAAAAAGAGGGAAACTGCCTGGAAAAAAACAAGCATTTGGATGGCTACAGCAGTTTTCCAAGTTTTTCAGGCCATGAGATCTGTTAAAAAAAAATCCCCAGAATCCCTGATCAAGAGGCAAAGCTCTAATGATAGGCAGCGTTGGTATGATTTTTCTCCTTTAGTCTCTAGAGAAGCCCATCCAGGTTTTCCAGAACTCTACAGTTCCATGGAACACTGTTTGAAAAACTCTGAGCTGGAGGACTGTGGGGCAGCTGGATACCCTCATGTTCTGGACCGCTCGATTTGTTTGCGGTTTACGTACAATGAAAGATAATCAAAAAGGTTTCATTTTTTTTCCAGCTGCTTCAAGATTTTCCAGCCTTGGGTCATGAAAAATGGTGTTCTGCAGTTAAACTTTCTTCCCCCCCGACCCCCTGATTACCACAAACTTTAGCCCTTTCAAAATGGTATCAGTGTCACAAAATGTTTTATTTTTTCCAGAAAGAGTACTATGAATATTATTTAAAAAAATAGAAGGAAATATAAAACTGTACCTGCAATCTGCTCATAGTCTTCATAGTGAACAATGCCCACATGGGGATTCAAGGTTGTGAAGGGGTAAGGAGCGACGGCGGGTTTTGCTCTGGAGATAGCTCGCAAGAGTGAAGATTTCCCAGCATTAGGGAACCCTATCTGCAATAAAGAGCCCAATCTGAAAGGGGGGCAGCTTTTGCTTCAAGCTTACATTTAATTCTACTGGCAAAATGGAACAAATTTTTATGTTTTTTCTAGTTTTGCCCATTGGAGTTGGGTGGCCAGTGAATTCAAATAAATAAATAAATAAAAATGTAGAAGTTTCATCCCTTGAGCCATTCGTATTACAGCCTGAAAAAAAATAATGGCTAAACAAGGCAATGCCACTTGCCATCCCACTCCCAAGTTTTCAGGCTTTTAGCCCAATCATTAACAATGTGTAAGCCAAGAATTTCAAGCACTCAACAAGCAGATGTCATCAGGCCTGCAGGTCTTTGGGATCTGGAGACATTCTTAGATGGCTCCACTGTCACTGATATTCTGCCCTCTCCGTGGGGTTTGTATATTTTAAAATCTATTTTTTAAAATATGTGATGTTTTTATTCTAACAACAACTTTTTATCTTTTTATAATGCCTATTTTTATTCACATGTTATTTTAATTGTATGCCAGAGTCACTTTGTGTGCGATGGGCGGTTATATAAATCTGATGTATAAATAAATAAAAGCAGATGTGATTACGTGCCATCAAGTTGTTGTTGACTCTTAGCAACCACATAGATAAATTTTCTCCGTGATGATCTGCCCCTAACCTGGTCTTTCAGGTCTTCCAATTCGGGGGAGGAGCCAGCTAATTATTCCAATAGTGCATTTTAACATGCATACATCTCCCACGTTTCAACTTTTCTGACTTAACATGAAAACCTGTTTCTTCAGACTCAAATGTCATACTGAAAAACAAGCAAACATACTCACCATCCCTGCATGGGCTACAGTCTTGAGCTCCAAGTGAAGAAACCTTTCTTGACCTGGTTCTCCCAAAGTGGCAGTTGTTGGTGCTCGGTTGTCATTAGCCAGAAAGAAACGGTTGCCTTTCCCCCCAGCCCCACCATACACTGCAACGTATTCTTCACCGTGATGGTTGAGATCAGCTATAAGGTTACTGCCTTCCTTAACAATGGTACCAACGGGAACCTACAAAATAAAGATAAATTTAAGTAAAACACAGCTAAGGGTAAAGCTGGGCAAAGAGCTGCTCAGCGGGACTGAATGCGGGACATTAGCTATTCAACTTTTACAGACTCAACATTTTGACAAAAGTATATTACCTAACAACAAGTATCAACAACTTGCCTTAATGTAACGGTGCTTGCCAGCTGATCCATAACAGTTTTTGCTTCCCCCCTTTTCCCCACTGAAACCTCTATAAAATGGGTGGAGGTAGGCCAAGGATTTGACTTGTTGATCCACTGTAAAAATAAAATATATTACAATTCAAGACGCTAAAGATGAATTCATTTAAAAAAAAAAAAGCTGTGTTGACTAATTATGGATCGACAAACTGTTTCCTGGATGAGAGCACACCACAAATGCCAACTCTTGTGTTTTTATTTGGTACCAGATGCTGATATATTGGGAGCAATCTGATATACCAGCTGTTCCTTTGCCTAAATGACAAAAGTGCTAATAATACATATATTTCAAAAAACCTTTGCAAAGACAACCTTATGATCACCAACTTCAAAATATTTAAATTATTTTAGGCAGACAAACTGCAATTCATATTTTATTGTATTCGCTAGCAAGTCTCATTAATTTCAACAGTAGTATAATTACAGTTCTTCATTGTCCCATTGTTTTAGTAGTTAAATTCTCAACATTCATTCTTTTTTGTGTGGGAATTAAACCAAAGTACATACTCTGATTTGTTAATACATACTCTAATTTGTTCTTTTATTTTATCTTATTTACTTATTTATATATTTATAAATATATATATATATATATAGAAGGCTTATAGGTCACTCTAATCAGAACTGATTCTGAGCAGCTTTATTATTTGGATTATTGGATTTTTTCTCATCCTATTTTATCTTGCATTTCATAATTCATCGCATTTATTGTGGGGGTACAAATATGATCATACTACAGGTAGTTCCCGGATTAAGAACACCCGGTTTACGAACAACTCATAGTTAAGAACAGAGCCGACTGTAGCAAAATTCAAGTTAAATATACAATACTACTTATACAGTATTATACAATAATACTGTTCCAGCTTACATACAAATTCGACTTAAGGACATATCTTGGGAATGGAACTTGTTCTTAAACTTGGGATTATCTGTATTTTCTTTGGAATTATTTGCTTTTATAATTTTTTTTTTAACATTTTGCATTCTCTCTCACTGATTTGGATCCCAAGAACCGTGTCAGCAGAAGGCACTTCTATTCATATTACTGGTATGTGTTTCTGTGTATGGTCCATCTCCACACTCAGAATGGCCACTTAAAACTGGCTCCAGAGGACTGAGGGCAGCTTGAAGGAGATGCAAGTATACATACAACAAATAACTTCATATGACTGTAAATACATTTTAGTTGATCTGCCTATGTTAAGAATACACAAATCAAGTTCAAGTTACAGTAGCCACATAGAATCATGCAGTTTATTGGCAATAACAGGAATCGTTTGCCACTGCCTTCTTCCAGGATAACTTTTGATGTCCCAATCTAACTAGAGTCTAGAGATTCCTTGGTGGTCTCCCATCCAAACCCAGAAAGATCTGTACTCTGATTTTTGCAAAATATTCTACAAAGATTTTAGTAGAGAATAGATGGCAAGAAACAGGCTGGACTATGCTACTATTGGATAGATGCAGAACTGTTTATATGACCATACTCAATAGATATATGTTAATGGCTTCACACCAGGTTGGAAATTTCAAAGTGGTGTACCACAGAGCTCCACTGTAGGCTTTGCGCTATTCAATGTATTTATAAATGGCTTGCATAAGGAATGGAAAATAGGACATCAAATGGAAAATATCAAATCTGCAGATGACAAAGATAGCAAGATAATTTCAAGGATAGTATCAAGATTCAGAGCAAAAACCAGCAGCCTGATTTTCAACAGGGACAAATTCAAAATGCTACCTTTGGGCAGAAAAAGTCAAAGGCATGAATATAGGAGGGAAGGAAGGAGCATACTGTGCAGCAGAACATGCAGAAAGAATCTGTGCATCTTGTTGGGTGAAAAGCTGAACATGAGTCCTGTCTCATATGCAGAAGCCAAACAAACAAGTGTAATCCTAGGCTGCACTAATCAAAGCATCAAGATCAAGAAAAGTCAACTTTCTCTGTACTTTGCACTGGCCAGACTGCATCTGGAATATTGTGTTCAGTTCTGGACATCTCATTTTTTAGAAAGTGGAGCAGTTCCAGAGGAGAGCAAACAAAATGACAGGCATCTGGAAGGAATAAATTATAAGCAGTTGGTGGCACTGGGAACGTTTAGCCCTGAGAAGACTGTGAGGAGAGATCAGTGGACTTCAAGCATCTAAAGAGCTGTCACATGGAAGGCAAGGCAGAATTGCTCACAATTGTTTCAGGAGACAAGACACAAAGCAATGGGTTTAAATTACAAGGATACAGATTTCAGTTGGGACACCAGGAAAATTTTCCTAATGGTAAAGGCAATTCAACAGTGAAACAGACTTTCTCGGGAGGTAGTACAGGAGATAGTTAAATAGAGGATGGGTGGTCATCTATCAGGGATGCTCCAATGGTGAATTCTTGCACTGGAGAGGGCCTGATGATCACTAGGGTGACTTCCAACTCTTACATTCTATGATAATGCCATCCTGCTGAAAACATCCACGTTATTGATTGTTAAATGTATTTATCCTCCATCTTACATATATGTTTTAGTTTTAATTTTCTATATACGGTATCCATTTCTTGATTTTTTAGGTCAACTGCTACTCTATCATTTGTTCATCTTTTTTATTCTAGTTCCTCCCTTGGAGCTTTTTTCTCTTTTTTTGCTTCTTTTAATGAAATTCCTTGCCAGTTGAATGCTGGTTCAGAGTCCATTCCTTTGCATAAATAAGTTTCAAAGCTCCTATAGTTAAGCTATATTACAACAAAGCTATTATGCTTTTATTTCTGACATTTTTACTATCTTCCAGTTCTAATTACTTGTCTTTGTTGTCTAAGACTGCAACCCATTTGGGCAGGACTTATTTTTTTTTGCATATTCAATATAGGCTAACCCTAACCCAGTATTTTAAATACTCAAATAAATATTCTAATTATCACTGCTAAGTTCCAAGTCAGTATTTCACAACAACACAAAACACTTAAGGAGCTTAACAAAGTTTCTAGAAGGCAAGCTAAAAATTATGTATGACAAGCATTGCAATAAAAATAATCTTTGAACATTTTACATTTAGTGATGTATTCTACAAGAGGTCCAGCCATCTATTTTTGAAGAATGAC